CGGGGGTGGGGGGGCAGCTGGAACCCGCCCCTCCCGGAGCCGTGTGCGGCCACTAAAATGTGATTTCAGGCCCTAACCGCTGCAAAACGCTTTGAAACAGGAAATGCGGTGGGAATGTTATTGCTCCCCAAGGGAAGGGAGCCGGAATCTGCCAGCAAGAGTTATGGGGAGCGAGATGGGGCATTTGGATGCTGTGAGACTTGGGTTTTTCAAAATCCCCTGGAAATTTGTGCTCCTTAGGAATGGCTGAGGCCAGTTTAGTGGATGTACATAGTGCAATGTTGCAGCTATTGCTATTTGGCTCATCCTCATCTGAAATTTTTCTTCCAGGGAGATCTGGGCCCTTTCAATCCAGGTTTGCCAGTGGAAGTACCAGTGTGGTTGGCCATTAACTTGAAGCAGAGACAGAAGTGTCGGCTGATCCCCCCGGAATGGATGGATGTCGGTGAGCGCTGCAGCTTCAGCTCGGGCCTGTCACAGCCCTGGCCTTGAGTGGGTCCAAGCGAGACACAAAATATCCACTCTGAGTCTTTGTCCTTTAGTGGGAAGCATAAATCCACCAATACAAAGTGACTCGGAGAGGAGGAGCTAATGTTCCACCGCTGGAAAGTTTTGTACTTACCAGAAATGTAATCTCCTGAGCCAAGCTAGATGTTTAACTTCCTCTTCCCTGGTTAGGAGGGGGAACAAGGATTAGGTTTCATTCCTGCCTCTGCCACTTGTCGCCAGCCTGACGCTTCCGTGCCCTTTCTGAGCAGTGGTACAGGGAGCAGCGCTTGTGTTGCTGCCAGGCATGTTTGTAAAGAGCTTTGGGGACCGTGGGTGACATCCTGTGAAGAGGGTGACTTAGGAGAGCAAATACGTGTTTTAATCGCGTGCTCATTCACCCCACGATGTCCCCTTCCCTGAAGGCACAAGAAATCAAAGGTCTTCTCACTCTGTGAGAAGTGAGAATCGTGGTCCCCTCCTTTTTGTAATCTTGGGGGAAACAGAAAGCGAAGCAAATACTAAGGAAGGTGTAGGAAGACCCAACCCTCCTAGGCAATTCAAATAAAAGTGCCGAAATCAGGAGAAGTGTTTGTGGGTGAAGCGAGGCCCTCCCCCAGGTGGGGATCGGCGTGTTGATGGAGCTGCTGTGGATTCAGCCTCGCAGCCTGGTGTGCAGAGACCTGTTCTGCGATGCCTGTCAGCAGCCGTGAGTGTTGATGGGCATCTTTTCTCCCTGGGGAGCTGGGAGCTGCTGTGGCAGCGCTGATGCTGACACCAGAGCAGACATTAGCTGTTAGGGTTGTTTTTCTTCCTCGCAGAAACCCTTTTCTGTCCATATATTGATCCCAGCTGGTGTAAACTTTGATCTGTAGTTGCTCCTCCTGAAACAGGACATACAGAAATAGCTGGTCCTGCAGGAATAATGTGTGTTTTTTTGCTGGGGAAAACTCCTGCCTGGAGCATTGGAGATCTGGCAAAGCTGACTGTTCGTGGTTACGTTCCAGGAAAACTGGAAGAAATCCGCGACCAGGAACGTAAAGAGGACACCTTCACTCCAATGCCCAGTCCCTATTATATGGAACTCACAAAGCTGCTATTAAACTAGTAAGTAGGAACCGTATTGTAACAGTTTCCGCCTGAGTTGGTGCTTGCACAGACAATTCTTCAAGCTTTCATTGGCAGCAACCCCGAGGCCTGTGGGAAAGGGAGAGTTAATGGGGGTTTATTTCACAGCCTGCCAAGAGCTCCTTGCAGCAGTTTTCTCAGGGTAACTTTGCATTTTAGTAACTCGGGATTGCTTGTTCCGTGCCCTCATAATTGGGGCTGTGCTGCTCTGCTGAGCAGCAGCTCGGCGTCGAGGCCTTGGGTCTCTGCAGCACACGCCGGGGCTGCAATCTGTTCGGCAGCCTAAACCCTCCCGGCTTCCTTGGCTCTCCTTCAGGAGGAAAGCTCTTCCTCCCGCAGCCTGCGGAGCGGG